AGTACATAGGAGAAATACAAGAAAGAGCAGTTCCTATAATGTCTTAAGCTGTCAGCAGTTTTTTTTACCTCTGTTCTATCTGACACCACGTCTGGCTTCCTGTGCCCCTCCTTTACAGGGTCTTGCCACACTGTTCAGCCCTATTTTTAATACTTATGAGGAAGTTGGAGAGAAAAGTTCACTCCAGCTAAAAGTCAACTTTGGGACTCCAGGGCACTAGAATGAAAAGCTAAGCTAATATGAATTTATAAAGTCCATTCTATTAAGACCACCTAACCTGGCCAGCCACTGGTGGGTTTACCTGTGCACCCCCTCCTGCATCATAGTAACATGCAGTGCAAGATATATGTGTGAGCAACACATTTGCATTATTGCAATTTGATCCTTCTCTGCTTCCTTCTCTGGCTTCTTTTAATCAATTGCTGAAATAATAGAGCCAACCTTTTGTGATAATGCAAGGGCAGCAATGATATCTGGGAAATATATGAAATCCCGACTTGCTTTTTTTTAAAAAAAAAGGTAAACCTACAGCAAAAGAGCATACAATTGCACACTTGTTAAGAAATTACTGATTTGGCCACCTGCTCTCTAAGCGGAGGGAAATAATTACTAGGAAGGACTTAAACCTGAAATCTGAAGAGGCAAAGATGTTATCATGGGAACTGTACACCTTTAGCCATGAAGGAAAGTGGTAAATCCAGATATATTGCATGATTATAGCAAGCACAGTAGAGCTACATATTTGAAAAAGCAAGGGGAGAGCAAGACTTAATTAATTGTTTGACAAAAGGTAAGAAAAATATTCACTGTGGAGCTATGAAACAAGTTAAATCTCTATTTTTTTCCCTCTCATTATAAGAACTGAATTTACTTAACTGCATTTAGTAATGATTTTAATGGTATTAGTGCAGTGACAACCCCATGTTTCCAGGTGTGTTTGGTTACAACTGTCATCATCTGCAACTATGACCTGGAAGGCATGAGGTTAGGGAAGGGGATGTAATGTCAGATTGTGAAAAAGAATTGATCTGGAATTATAAATCTGCCACAGATCTTATTAAATATCCTGGCATTTCATCTTTCAATCAAATCTATCTACAAGGATGACTGTGGCGATCAAGTGGGGATGGTGTAATAAATAAAAATGTAATAAAGTTGTAAATGTATGCACATTTTTCTGCGACTAATTCCTGTTGAACCCAAGTGTTCTTCGGTATTAAGATATAGGATTACTCTTCATGATAATTCTGGCCACTAAGGAATTCATACGTTTGCTAAGTATTGCAATGTTCTCTCATACTGTTATAATTACCCATCCCTTCAGTGATAATTATTTTGCTATTAGCATTCATTATCAAACTATTGTCTTCTGAAATGAGGACTAGCCATTTTATAGAATTTACAGTTTGTTTTGTATAAAGCCAGGAGAGCATTTACTTAGATTTAAAACTGGATTGAATGAAGTAGGCATAATTTACAAAGCAGTGTCCACTTTAAGCAGAGCTTAGTATTGATCAACTGGTACTATTCTTCGACCAAAGAAGAACCCAACAGCCCTTAAAGAAATGGTCTTTTATATGGGGAAAGATTTGAGATCTGGATTTTGATTTTGGGGGGTCTTTTTTTTTAAGTAATTCTTTTTCCAAGAATAGCAGTTGAAAAATAGGTGAGTGGGAGAAATTCAGGTGCAAAATAATCTCAGGGAACAAAGTACCCTGAGTATTTTGTTCAAAGTAGTATTGTTCTTAATTTACAATTATTGAACCCACAGCTTTAAAAAGATTCCTTTATATCTTCTGTGTCGTTTTCCACTGAATTAAGAGTTACTACATACAAAATCTCCAAGTAAATTAATGCTAATTGAAAGATGTCAGTCAAGCACCAACAAGGAACAAATGCGGTGACTCTTGAGGAAATGGGAACTCAGGAAGAGGAGCCAAAGAAAGGTAATCTAGTTTGGTGTTCATCTTCTCTCTCAGTTGTGAGTTCTTGACTAAGGTTCTCTCAAAGTCTTCATGATTTCTTACAGAACTACAACTTTTGAAAGCCCTAAATTCACTCTCTCCTCAACTGAAAAGTGGCGAAATTGCTAACAAAATTTAGGCGTACTTTAATATTATGCATAAAGACCAATTTTGGGTTGTAGGTAAATAAAGTATTCCTGACACTTATGGACAAAATGCGACTTACCCAAACTTACAATGTCTTTGTGGCGGATGGTTTTTTGTCCCTCTCATAATTTTCTATTTGAAATCATCTTCTGTTTTCAACCATTCTTACATAAGATTCTTCTTTTATCCATCATAAATCCAATTTCATAATAAATAGTTATCAGAAGGAAGACAACAGGCCTTGCAAATGCCCGTTGATAGCTTTTGGAGTGCTGATAGAGATAAAGTAAAAAGGACATCTAATTGTAGATTGGTGGATAATAGTGAAATTAATTATTTTTATATGTGCATATCTTCAGAGGTGGGATCCAACTGGTGTAACAACTGGTTTGCTGAGTGCATGCAGTGCGTTTGAAAACTTACCTTCTACTGCAGCCCTGGTGTAAAACAGCTGAGGTGCAGCAATCCGCTCTGCTGCATCTATCAGTTGGGCTTCAGAAAGGGAATATAGGTGAATATAGTGCAGGGGTGGGCAGGCAGGCTCAGCTGATCGTCGAAGCGAACTGGTTTGCTCCCCGCTGATCATTGGAGCTACAGGTTTTCACGAACCAGTCCGAACTGGTAGAATCCCACCCTTGATTTTAGGGCATATTTTGGGGAAATCTGTATTCTTCCCCTCCTGTGTTTTTGTAATGTTTTCTATGTTTAAGAATAATGAATATATGTTAATTTATTCTATTTATTATATCTATTAACATTCCATTTAATATTCTAGAGCAAAAGACCTTTACAGTAGAAGAAGCTGTGGAAGCAATTGGTTTTGGGAGATTTCACATTGCACTCTTTATGATCATGGGTAGCACTGGTGTAAGTTTTTTTAACACTAAAATGTATCATCATTTCCTAAAACGTTTTCCCTTTGCAGAAGTGGCCTCAGTTTTATTGGTTGTTGAGAAGCATTTGAATTACTTCTAAATTCCATGGTCTTGTACAAAGTCCATTGTTCTCTGATACCAGAGAATTTGTTGTTCTTTTCTTTTATTGCAATCTTTTCTGCCTCATTGGTTGCCCACAATTCTGGATCTGGAAAAGTGATGTAAGAATTGTCTCTGAGATTTAATGGAAACCTAAAAACCTGGCGGGGGGGAATGGGTAGGCTGAAGAGATTTCCATGGTGAAGATCGAGACCTTCATACAGGCTTCCACACTTTTGAAAATCACATACATTTCCGCCCCCCCTTCACATGGTGTGAAGATGATTGAAAAATCTCAAAGGTGCTTTTTCTTCAAAAGGTTGCTTTTTCCTTGAGGAAAAAGAAGTAGAAAATGCTTTGCTTCTCATCCAAGAAGCTTAATCAGTTCTGATGGCGGGGGACTGATGAAGCTTCTTGGATGAAAAGCAAAACGTTTTCTTCTTCTTCCTCAAGGAAAAAACAGTCCAGTTGTCTTTTGAAGAAAAAAAGCACCTTTGACCTGAATGCAGGGGTCGGCTGTTGCAGGTTCACATGGGTTTGGGACAACCTCTAGCTAAGAATCTGTCCAGGTTAGAGAACCCGCAAATCCCACTGCTGGCTGGCCCTGCCCACCCTGCTCCACCCCTCCCCTCCCACACTGCCATGCCCCTCCCAGGACACTCCATGCGGCTCATTTGGGATGCCAGTTAAGTACAGGACCTGCAAGAAGCCCAGGGAGGGTGAAAAATGGGCCTCCCAGAAGTTCTGCATGGCTTCCAGAGCCCAGGGAGGGGATTTTCACCCTCCCAGAAACTCGAGGAAAGCCTCCAGAGCCTGGGGTGGGTGAAAACACCCTGCTGCCTTGGTGCAGGAGGCCGACTAGGCCACACCTACCATGGCCACACCCATCCAGCAACCGGGCAGAGAACCTGTTGCTAAAATTTTTGAAGCCCACCCCTGCCTGGATGGCTGAGAATCTCCACAGATATGATTGAGGGACGCAGAACATGTCAGCATAACACTTTGTTTTGATGAAATTTATTGCATGAACACTTCCAAGCACATTGGGTGCTCTTCTCTGTCTTTTTAACACTTGCTTTAGGGATATTCTGGGACATTCTGAAGTATGAGTCAGTTTTAGTTTTGCATGTACTGACAGCAGCACGGATTGTATTTGCACAATATTGGATAAATGAGAACACTCCATTAGATGAGGATGTAATTCGGAAAATATTAGACTGTGCAGAGATGGATAGATTGGTTTTAAAAATAAAAGACAAAGGAGACACAGAATATTACTTGACATGGAATAGATTTTATGAGTGGTTAGCGATAAGCGGTAGAAATTAGATGAAGACAGGTTAGTGCTATGTATGAATTAAATAGAAATATGGTTTATAATTATAAATATGCTAATATAATTAACAAAATTATGAATAAGCTAATATAAAGAAGAAATTGAGCCAAAACTATTCTGCTACATTATTACAGTATATGTCTTAATATTTTGTTTTGTTTTCTCTTTGTTTTTTTTTTGTAAATGATATATCCTGACAATACACTGTATTCAAAATGTTTATGAATAAAAAGAGAGAGAGAGAGAATGACCAGCTGGTTTTCATACCTAAGGTAGAACTGGGGGGGGGGGGGTGTTAAACTCTCAGTTTTCACCCTTTCACATCTCCTCTACTCTCCAAAAATCTAGGTTGCTTCCAATTATGCTAAGTGCTAACTAATATTCAGACAGTATTCCAATATATAAAAATGTGGTTCTGATTTCTCCAACAAGGAAGTACGAAATCCATCAGGAAGCTGTGACAAGCAGGGCGAAGGGCAGGGGTTGAAGATAGAGACATGGCCAAGGATTGGAGTATCTACCAGTATTTATTTTGAATGTGTTTAATCTGTACGGTCACAAGTACTCTCTGAGTTTGGAACTGTAGGAAAATCAGGGGGCTGTAGATGGCATCATTTCAGAATATTGAAATAACAGAGTTTATAACGGTACTATACAGGCATAGGAGATCTGGAATGAGAATGGCAGATTCCCCCTTGTGTCTTGTGTATGTTAAAAACTATATTTTTTAAAAAAATATTATTTCATATGCTCATCCCCAAAGGTGGTAGAAGCTATGGAAATCATGCTGATTGCTGTAGTGGGTCCTGTTATCCGATGTGAATGGCAGCTTAAAAATTGGCAAGTGGCTTTAGTGACAACAGTGAGTATAATTTCTACAGTTACATGGTCATTGGGCTAACATTGGGAGAGAAGGTATCAGGACCATTATGAGGCCATATAAATTATGTGCCTCAGGCAAATGATTCTGCTCACATTAAAACATCAGCATCATTTGCTTCACCATTATTCCATTTTTTTCCTCTGCTGATAGAATTTTCTTATTCAGATTCCAAAAATCCTTTGACCAGTCATGGATGTCTTACCATGAATGACTTGGGTCAACCTTGGCTCCAAAATCAAACCAAACCAGGTCTCCAAAATAAATAGCCATATATATATATATATATATATATATATATATATATATATAT